ACACAGCCAAAGAGCCCGAAAAACCCACAACAACCATTAGATCCCGGCCATGAAAGCCTTCGCAAATACAGAGACAAGACTCCTCAGCCAACGTCTTTATTATACAGAATGAAATGATTTGTAAAGGTCTGCTGGAAAAATAGGTATGCAACAAACATACATTGACTTACTTAACACACAAATTTGGATAAATCTTGAAAATCCAGTAAAAACAACTCTTTAGCAAGACCTTCCAGAAGCATTAATAGCAATAGCGTATTTTATCCCTTGTTTAGTGGTATAAATGTTAGCTGGTACAAAATATCTTGCAAGAAAGGATTCAGATGCCTGAAGCTAACGGCAAGCAACCATATCATCATAAACACATTATTTATTTTATGCAAAATAATGTGCTTTGGAGAACCTTATACATTTACTTATTATAAACTATTATGACTACCCAATGTTGCAAAACCTAGAAGCTACTTAGTTTTCCAACCCCACATAAGTGCTTTCTCTGGCCCTCTTTTTTCTTCTTCTCATCCACTGAAGTGTTTTTCTTCCTTGCTGGTCTTTCTCTACACCATGATGTTAGGCCAACCTTTTCCACTGCTCACTCTCCCTTCTCAACCAGACAGTAGACTTCCCATTCTACACTACCAATTTCAAAGTATCAGATACAACTGCTGTTCTGACTGACTTCACCCAGCAGAAGACCTAACAGAGTAGGAGAAGGGAAAGGGTGAAGAAGGAGCTGAGTTACACCAGATCCAAACACCCTCCAATTGAAGAACATGGACCCTATGGCAAAACAAAATAAGGACATAGTGAGGGTAGTCCTAAGAAACTTCCAACACCTTTAGATTGGGAGGGGATTGGGTTCAGCTTAGCATCTACTGATCTAGTGTTAGTCATTTTGACTGGTTAGGACTGTGTTCATAGTCCATTCTTTACTTCTGATCCTTTATCTGAGGTCAATAACCAAATGAATATTCAACCCCAGCTTAACTTTCTGGTTTCTCAATATTCACATGTATTTTTGTGTATCATCCACCTTTCCATCTGAAGCATGGGATTTATTTAACAATTGAAAAACCAACAACTTGTTCCCTTCACAGCTCTCAGACAGATCAAGAACAAGCAAAGGCTACTTGCATGCCACTACAACCTCAATAAAGCTGTTCTAAAATTTAAAACCACACTTGCAGCATCACAGTAGTCATGAAGGTCCATCCCGAACCCGGTGCTCCTCAACTTGTTTATTAGTGACTTGGATGAGGGAGGTCAGAAATATTTAACAAGTTTGTTAATGAGAAAATTGGATGGAATAGCTAATATCTTGGAAGACAGGAACAAAATTTAAAAATACGTTAATAGGCTTGAGCACTGGGCTGAAAACAATAAGTGCAAAATTCCACACCTAAGTGGGGGGGGGGAAGAAACAAATGTGTAGTTACAAGTTGGGGGTTAGTTAGCTGAAAGAAAGGTCTTGGAATTGTTATAGATCACAAGCTGAATATGAAACAACGGTGCAATGTGGCTGCAAAAAAAGGCTAATAGTATTTTAGGATGCATCAAGAGAAGTATAGTTTCCAAATCCCATGAAATACTCATTCCCTTCTATTCAGCACTAGTTAGGCCTCATCTTGAATACTATGTTTGGTTCTGGACACTGCACTTAATGAAAGATGCTTACAAACTTGAACAAGTTCAGAGGAGGACAACAAGGGTGATAAGGGGACTGGAAACCAAGACATGTGAGAGAAAACTGAACAAACTGGGTATGTTTAGCCTTCAGAAAAGAATACTGAAGGAGATATGACAGTGTTTTTCAAATACTTGAAAGACAGTCATACAGAGGAGAGACAGGATCTGTTCTCGATCATCCCAGAGTACAGGCAATGTGGTAATGAGCTCAAGCTACAGGAAGCCAGATTTCAGCTGAATATCAGGAAACATTCCTAGCAGTTAGAGCAGTATGACAATGGAACCAATTACCTTGGTGTGTGGTGAGTGCTCCAATGCTGGAAGCATTCAAAAGAAAATTGTGCAATCATCTGTCAGATCTGCTTTGATTTGGATTCCTGCATTGACAAGTGGATCAGACTGAAAATTACAAATGCAAACTTACCATGGGTTGTTGTGACAGGTGGCGTGGGGGGCACTGTAAAATCTGAGTAAAATAAGATAAACAATTTTTTTCCAAGTAGCCTTAAACTAAAAAGCAAAATAAATTGCAGGTGAATAGTTAACATTACACAAAAACAGTATAACCCCCTCCGCACCAAATCATAGCTTAACAGACATTAGGGACTTCAGGGAGTTTAGTTTTATGATACATTTGTAATAAAAGTATCTAATTTCCTGAACTATGTACACAGAGGTGGCACACAGCCTGAGGAAGATGGATTCTCATAGAAAGATTGCTGTCTGTTGTTTGCTTGATGTTTTTAGTGGCCCAATAAAGGTGTCACCTACTTCTGCATTTGCATAGTTTTTTTTAATGTTGACAAGAAACAAAGGAGGCCTGGCTAGGATTTATTCCTGACAAACCAGGCTGGATTAGAACTCCTACATTACAATTCTGGCAGAGATCAAAACTAATATCACAATATTGGTACTCTAATTTATCCTACAAGATGAAAAGTGGACAAAATATTAAACTATAGGAAGAATGAACATTTGAGTCCTGTGATTATTTATTTCTAGGCGGCTGTCTCTTCCAAATATGATATCTCACTATTTACCTAATCAATTAAGATTCATTCCCAATATATATCTTCCCCAGATATTTTCATTTGGTTTAGCTTGGAAAAATACATGATCTAAAGCAGTGGACCCCAGCCCCCAGGATCTCCCCACCGCTCCCCCAGACTCCCTCCTGCATGCATGCACAGATGCCCCTTCCCATGTACGCATGATTACCTCCTGTCTCATAATAGGCAAAAAACCCTTGGCCTTCTTGGGAAGACTCTCTGTGCAACAAAACTGACATTGTGCCGGAAAATGCAATGAATGTCGAGTCAGAGCATATTCTTCCAATTTTTGCTGATGTGTGTATCTCTCCATCAAAGATTTCAATATATTCATGACTGCAGTCTAGTCTATGAAGATAAATTTGAATATTTATTACTTAGCACAGGTCAAAGACATAATTTCAAACAAACATTTGGGTTTACTGAATTTTTCCATGTATAAGACAACGCTTTTGTCTAAAATCTTTAGGCTGAAAATTGAGGATCATCTTATACATGGAAGTAAGCTAAGGAGCGAACAAAACAGCCCATACCTTGCCTCTGCAAAAAGGCTGCCTCTAGTCAGATTTAGCTTACGAGCCTTATGTAACTGATGTCAGCTGGTGATGTACAAACCAATTGAAACACACCTTGTTGGAGGCGGAGCTATAGTCAGCGCTCAGTTTCAATAGGGATTCATTATGTCTGGTGTTCTGAGCCCAGAGGCTGAATCCTCAAAGCTAAGTTAAGATGTCTTCATTTTGGGTTAGAAGAGTGGGGGTGGCTTATACATGGGGGCATCTTATACACAGAAAAAAAATGCTAGTTTCTTTCCATTTCAAAGTTTTGAAGCATCACATGATGATCCTACTCCCGCCTTACAATAGTAAAAAGTAATTTATTAAAATTTCTCTCCTCTTCTAAAAAATTAACTGAATTATAACTTACATTCTAAGCCTCATAACTTGTTTGTTCATTTGTTTGCTAGGTCATATTATCCTACAGAAACTCAAAACTCAAAGGCCTAAATCACATAGCTATTCCCATATAGATTTAGAGAAAACTCTTTGGGGGCTTGAATATGGCCCCTGGACTCAGGAAACAGATCATCCTTTATGCAAGACTGAATAGAAAAACAGAAGAATTTGGTGTTTATGTGTATCCTTCCTTCCAATGTCACTACTAAGCATGTTAGAAAATATAAAATATTGACTTTTTGTTACTATTATGAAGCAAAATATTTAAGAATGGTTGGAATTCAGAAAGTCTCTCTGGTAGGATTACAATGGTTAGGACATGAGTTCTGTGTTTGGCATCTCTTTGCTTTCCTAATAAGGCAATGGAGTCATTAGTGAAAAAGCTGGAGGTGATCTGATCCATTATGAGAAATCAGAGCTAATATCCTAACTCTGGGTTGTCATATTGGCTGGTTTGACCTGGATTCTAGGACCATTGGTCTGGATTCCCCTTGTGATTCCTAGAAGCCATTCCATTCCCCTCCCAATCCTTGCCTGCCGCACTTCCATAAATCGCAAAGGGCCACTGTTTAGTCTCAGATTTTGTCCCCGAAAGCTCAGGAAAGAAGGCATTGTTGGCCAGGCTCCCTTAGCCAGCAGGGGTAGCTATAGGTTAATGAAGGCAGTTGTCTCAGGAAAAGGAGACAGGAAATGAGGAAATGGCCACATCTCCACCTTTGCAGGAGCCCTGTCTCTCCAGAGAGCTCCCACTGATCACACAAGTCTCCAGAGCCAACTGTTCCTGAATGCCTGATTCTGAGGAGCTGCCTCAGACAATAGAGAGGGTGACAGCTCGCTCTCCTCTTTCTTCTTCAGGAGGGGAGAAGAGAATGTCATTGTGTTCTTTCATTCTGCTGGTTTGCAAATGGAGCCTCTCTCATCTCTTTTGGACTGACCACACGCTTTCCTGATAGGCACATGGGCATAAGCTCTGCCAGGTGGTGGACTCAGCTGTTGCTTCATCACCTTCTGTTACCACATTATCCTATTCTATGCTTCTTGCTGCCATGACAGGAGGGGAAGTCGTACTTCACTTCAGACTTCAAGCAGTACAAGAAACTAGTACCGTGTTTGAACTGCAAATACCTTTATTTCTTCAGCAATTCTGCAAGTATTACAGATTCAAAGTTGTGAGGTATTAGTATTTGTGTATGCTTTGCAGAAACTGTAAGGGAGTAGAACTGAGCTGAAAATTAGCAGAAAACTCCTAAGAGCAAAAATGGCTCAGCAGGGGAACAAACTGCCTTTGGAAAAGAGAGGCTCTCCATCACCGAAGGCATTCAGGAAGGGATAGCCTTTTTTCTCAAGGACACACCCTGCATTGTGGATTTGCCACAGAATAATTAAATGGACTGAATGAAGTTCTGTTTGACCAACTGAAAATCGACTTAATTTAATCATTCTGCTCCAACTATTTGACTAAATCTGGATCCAACAGTGTGATCACATCACTGCTCTACTCAAAGTTTTGAACATGAATATCAAACAACCTTTTCAAATATATTTCCCAATGATGCATATTAATAATGCCTATAGACCAAAAACAAGAAAGATAAAAGATGAAATAGCTGAGAATCCAGAGAAGAAAAAGGAAAAGTATGTAGGAAGCAAATGATAGAAAAACAGAATAATGAAAAGAGGGAAGGAAATAATTTGGAAATAGAAGCAGATCAAAAGGATCTCCCATTTTATGTCAAATCTTTTTAAAATGCAAACTAGATGTTGGGCACAGAAAACAATAAATGGCATTCCACTGAAGAATACTTACTCCACATAATCAATGCTTATCTTTATAGGAAGATTATTACTGGGCTGGATTTTCCAAAGACACTCCAAGATTTTTCTGTCTCCATCATAATATGTACCAGTAAATGAGCCCTCTGGATCTGAGAAAGTCTGGCCACAGCTATAGGCTTCAGGGAAAAAAATGTTTAAATATTATTAATGTATTTAAAAAGAAACAAACAGATCCAGATAGCAATCTTCCTTTTTCTTTTTTCATCCTGATCAAAAGGCTGATTCTCATAAGCACAGGGCTGCTGTGTGTCTCAACGTGTTCATTCAGTCGTCTCCTGCAGTCAATTTTTTATGATATGGTTCCTCCTCCTTTTTTGCGGTTTGTCTGATTGACCAGTAATGTGTGACATTGTGTGAAAGCCATGGTAGCCATGGGATGAAAGGAAGACATCTTTAACTACTCAAATTCCTGCATGTAACATCTTCCAGTGGGAAAGGCTTTCGGTTGTACTCGAGGTGTAGCTTGTGCAACAGGATTAACAACTTCCTATAATTTTTATGGAGGAGAAAGGATGGTACTTACCAGACGCAGAAGGAACATCTTCAGCAGAATTCAGTAATAAAAAGAATAAAGAAAAGAAGGGGAGAAAGCTTGTTAGGGAAATCTTGAAATATTGTAGCAAATGCACTTTCACTGAAGTCTGCTCTAGAAAGTTAACCTACAGAGAGTGTCAAACATATCCAGATAGCCATCTTCCTTTATCATCATGATCAAAAGGCTGATTCTCATGAGCACAGGATTGCTGTGTGTCTCAACATCTTCATTCAGTCATCTCCTGCAGCCAATTTTTTATGACTTGCAAACAGTTCACTAGCTCTGGGCAGATGACTGGTTCACCACAAGCAAAGGGCTGCCACAAGCAGAAAACAACAACAACATTAGTCACTAGCCCAGTGAATACAGACTTAATTTTGAGGCTAGATACAGGTCGAGGAGATCCTTATCATTTGCATCAGATGGATAGCTTAACTGCAGAGACTATATTAAAAGCTTTATGAGACCACAACTCCCATAAGCCCTAGCCAACACAGTCAATGGTGAGTGATGATGCCACACCATATGTTTTCTGTCCTTTTTTGAGCACCAACTGCAGAGACTATATTAAAAGCTTTATGAGACAACTCCCATAAGCCCTAGCCAACACAGCCAGTGGTGAGTGATGATGCCACACCATATGTTTTCTGTCCTTTCTTTATTTGAGCACCAAGGCATGGATAAAATCTGCTATTTTTTTCGTTTTGTCCCTGCTTATGCTACCTGCTGTTTGAGGATGAAATGAATCTCATCAATGCTGAAGGAGCTATACAGAAGGGAATGTACACAGAAGGGAGTGTGTAGGATGGCAGACTTCTGTGAAAAGGAATCCTATGATGAAGAACCTGCACTTCTAGAAAATGAAGTGAAAGCTGCTTTGAAAGCATAAGGAAGAAATAAATCACTTGGGGTAGATGAAATACAGTAATAGAATTATTTCAAGCCACACAGACTAGATTTGTCAAAATTCTAACAAGACATGTCAACAAATATGGAAAACAAAGCAATGGTCCCCATACTGACAACATTTAATTAACATTCCAGATTCCAAGAAAGGAGACGCCAAGGAGAACAGTATCCAGGTGGCAATGTTAAAACCCTATAATGAGAAAGTACAAAATGAAATAATGTAGTGTCAGAAGATGAGTGCAGTATCAATAGGACCATTGCTTTAATTTCTCATGCAAGCAAATGATGCTCAAGGTGTTGCAGCAAAGCCCATTACTTTATATGGAGTGAAAAAGGACTGAGGTTCAAGCTGGACTCCAAAAAAGAAAAGGCACTCAGGATCAGATTGCAAATGTCCACTGGCTACTGGAGCACGCCAAAGAATTTCAGAAGAAGAGCAGTCTATGCTTTATAGAGCACAATAAAGCCTTGGGATCAAGAGAATCTATGGATTGTACTGAAAGAAACGAGTGTGTTTCAATTTCTTTATTGCAATGCAGAAACTAGTTTTTGTCAAAATTTACTGCATCTTAAAAGCATCTTACAATAATCACATTTTTTCAACCATGTTCAAGGAACAAACCTACCATTTTTAGATGTTCTTATTAAATCGTGTGGTGATAATTCTACTTATGCCTATGATAATAACTATTTTCATTTTACAATAAAACAAGAAGCTTTATTTGTGATACTTTGCAGCCCCTTTTCAAAGGATGATAAAACATCCACCACAGCTATTTCTTAGACACCTTTTTTCTGAAAAGACGCAGTGCGTGTCACACTTATCAAATATATAAAGATAACAACAACAACAAAAAACCCACAACAAACTAGACACACAAACACTGAATAACTCATAGTCATAGGTACAGTTGATTGACACTATGAAAATATCTAAAAAATGAGAATTCACATCGCACACACAACTATGAGTAGCCAGGCATTTTGTTTTCCAAATGCTTGAAGTTTTCTGTCTTTTAAAAAAAACAACTATTGATCTAAATACATTAATTAAAAAATTATAATTACCACTTTGTCCTCTTGTTGTATAAGCTGCAAGGAGAAAAATTTAGAGAAGACATTATAAAACTTTTTAAAATGATTTTACATTTTTTATATTTACAAAATCAGTTAAAAAACACTGAACTGCCCTAAGAACAGTATTTAATAATGTTTAACTAATTGGACAATGCAGTATTTCACAGCCATCATTCTTCTGTTTTATTTTCTTCACCTTACTAGCTGCCGGAAATCCAATAGCAATAAAACAAGCCACCATCCTGCCACCTAACCCCAGTGTGCCTCAGGTTGCACAGCCCCTCTGGATTGCTATGGGGCCAAACATGGTTTGTGGAAGGCAGTCAATATATTCCAGTGTACATTCTCAGCACATGTATTACTAATAACATAACCTTTTCAATAGAGTCATCATCTGACTCTATGAAAAGAATCCCCCCTCCGCCACCATCCTGCCACCTAACCCCAGTGTGCCTCAGGTTGCACAGCCCCTCTGGATTGCTATGGGGCCAAACATGGTTTGTGGAAGGCAGTCAATATATTCCAGTGCACATGTATTCTCTTACTAATAACCTTTTCAATAAAGTCATCATCTGACTCTATGAAAAGAATCCCCCCTCCCCATTCCAAAGGATGGAACAACAATAAGTAAGGAAGTGACAAACTTCAATAGATACAATTGGACTTGATCTATGAAAGCTCACACTAAAATATAGGTGTTGGTCATCAATGTGCCACACTTTGATCTCTTTTCTTTCTGTTTGTTTTTGCTTTGATTGTTATACAAACTACAAAGGAACTGTGTGGATATAATTTAACATTCTGAAAGACTTACTTTAAGTCTCAGAATCAAACAATATGAGATACTCTGCCTGTATTTAGAAGTGGAGTTGCCTGAAATGGTAAAAGTTGACTTTCTGTCCCAGCATAAGCTTTTCTCATCTCTTCATCCTCCAAATTAGTGTACTTGGTTTTGTGATGGATCATGAGAAAGTAAAAAATCCATTACCACAGAACAATTTTGCCATCTGTTTCTAAAGATGAGCTGAAAATTATGTGTAGTTGACTGTGCATATAGTTTGTAAGACTGATGTCCAGCCATAAGCTTTTTTCATCTCTTCATCTTCCAAATTTAGTGTACTTGGTTTTGTGACTGATCATGACAGAGTGAAAACTCCATTACCACAGAACAATCTGTTTCTAAAGACAAGCTGAAAATTATGTGTAGTTGACTTTGCATATAGTTTGTAAGAATGATGTCCAGAAAAAAACTCTGAAACCATAATGGCAGCTCAGATAAAAACCAATTTCAGTACAAATAGTTGCTATTTATTGAATATAGGAGAGGGGAAATGACTGGTTCATCTTCCAGAGCTGCTGGACTGGGGTAGCTACTTAGAATTTATTTTCAAATTTGTTTTATTGATTTTGCTGTGTGGGGACTCATTTCCACAATTCCACCACCATAGTCCAAGCACTTAAGCTTTAAACCACAGAGCTTTAAGTCAACAGACCTGAACAAATAATTTCATCTGAAAATGTGTACTCAACCTCTTAATGACCTCTTATGCCAAAAACCATTTTCAGGGTTCTAGTGAAGGGGATTGCATACGTTCCGTCACAAACCTTTCCCAATATGGCATCTAATTGACCATCCAATAATTCTCCTCTCACACATGGTTACAAACTAAATGCAGTAATTAATATTCTAGCAAGGACTTACATCTCTATCAGCAAAAGTCAATCATTACTTAACCCCAGCAAACAAATTAGTAATGACTAGCTTTCGATAGAATTCAAGTCTGATCCATTCCATGTTTAATCAGATACAAGTTCTGCAGTATTCAGTAGGAATTCTATAGTATTCTGTAGTATTCAGTATATGTTCCTCTGTATAAGGATGCCTAAGATTTCTGCTTCTCTAGGTATGCAGGCAATTCATTATCTAAAGACCAAATTTACAGGCCACCTGGCCAGTTTTCAGCAATATTGATTCAATTCTTAGTTTTGCATCTAGCAAATGTTACAGTAAAATGTTTAAACATTTCAATTATTAAAATCTTCATCCTTCAGCTATGTCAGGGATGGACAACTTGAGACTCACCAGATGCTGTGAGGCAGTACTCCCATTAGTCCTCACTCACTGAATATTTTGACCAGGACTTTTGGGAACTGTGGACTATAAACATCTGGAAGGGCACAAATTGCCAGTGCCTGAGCCATTGAAGTTTCCACTTTAACCGAAATGTGTACGTGATCTCTTATATGTTATAGAGAAAAACAGAAGAGAACAAATATATCTCAATCCACTATCAACATATTACCTGTAGCAAAAAGTAGCACCCAAAGGAAGATCACAGTGCGGTCCATCTTGGGTTAGGAGGATCCCAGGAGAGGAACTGACCTTCAGACTGGAGATGCCTGAACATATATAGAGTAGCAAGGTCTGAAATTTGATCTTCCCTTTTTCGTCAGTTCATGATAAAAGGAAGTTCTCTGGAAAGATATTTTTATATGCCAAACAATACTTGGTATAGTATGCCAACAGTGATGCCTATCAATGCTCTTTTCCTTATCTTTGGATTTGTTTTTGTACTTCTATAAACAGTCTTCAGCATGAAGCTTAAGCTTATCATTTTTCTCTTTCAATGAGATGTTCTCCAGAAGGAAGTGGGACAAAATAATTGTTAGAAGTAACAGCAAATGAACCGCCAACACCTTCCTCCACTCCTCTGTCTTTACAGAAGCATTCAAGGAAAAGCTATAACAGAACACAACATGGTACTATGCTTGGCAAGTGGCAACAACTTACGGGGACAGTTCTATAAGAAATGTTTCTTTCCATTTTGCTTTCTAGCACAGGACCACTATGAATATTTTGGGGTTCCCTAGATTTTTGGTTTCTTGAATTCACCCACACATCTCTATAGCAAGAGGTTTCTGAAATTTTAAGGAAGTTTCACAAATATTTTGTCACAGTCTATGGGAGCCCACAGTTGAAATGAAGACAATTCCACTTAGGGGAAGCATTGGCTTTCCAGATGCTTTGTACTACATATCCCGTGAGTGCATACTATCAGCCATATTGGGTGAGGCTAATAAGAATTATAGGCCAAAAAATCTCTAATGTTGAACATCAGAACTCCATTTTGTCCCCAATGTTATGGTAGTGCTATTGTAACTGTGGTGACTTTTCTTCTTGCAATAAGCCAAGAGGTGCGATTTTTATTTCAGAAAATCATTTATTATTTTAGCTAGCAGTAAAGAAAATCTGAAAAAACAAGGATGTATGCATAGTTACATAAATGAGTAATTTAACTTGGTATTTCTTTGACACTACTTTCTCAGGGTATATCCTAAAAGGAACATGGTTGTTCTATATGATAAATTTATTCTTTACTCAGAAGGTGGATGGGTTCATTGCTTTATGGGTTTATGATACTGTTTGCTAAAGGTAGGAATGTACAATAATGTGAAAAAGAAAGTACACTCTCTTTGAATTCTATGGTTTTATATATCAGGACATAATAAAAATAATCTGGTCTTTAGCAGGTCTGAAAATTAAGTAAATGCAAACTCAGATGAACAACACATGACATATTAAATATTTGATTTCTGAAACAATGGTCAAATTCCATAATCCACTGGGAAATACACTGAGCTTTGCTATACTATAAATCAGTGGTTTCCAACTTTCCAACCTCGAATCCCCAGACATTCTTACACTGCAGCTTCCAGACGCCCTTGCCAGCACAGCTAGTAGTGAAGACTTTTGGGGGTTGTAGTCCAAGAACATCTGGGGAACCAAGGTTGGGAAGCACTGCTATAGAGCATAAGAAAATACATTGGCTATAAATGTATATAGTTGCAAATTCTAATATATATGGTTATGTTTGAAGTTTCATTGAAGAGGGATCTCCTTGTAAGTCCTGTGGGACTAATTGCTTTAGCCCAGTGATTCCCCTAAGGAAAGAGTCTGTAGTTTCAGTATAGAAAGACAGACACTGGGGCTGTTCTCTTAGGGAAAATGGGGCATAACACACACACACACACACACACACACACACACACACACACACACACACACACACACACACACACACACACACACCTCATGAACTCTCAGATTTCCCACATTCAACTCATTTATGTCTGCCGCTCTTCAGTCAGCATGCATGTGAATGCTTGCCTTCCTGGTTTTATGTGTGAGAGAAGATGTACGTGCCAATGTAGATACATGTATGAATGTACATATATGTGTGAATTTTGCTCCAATTCTTCCTGGCACCCTGCCTCAACCCACCAGTGCCTTCTTCTGTACCTTCAGCTATACCTGTTATCATGGGGAGAATATGAGAGGTAGAGAGCTGCTACTCTCTAAAGAGCACACATGTAGGCCCTAATTGTCTTTATCCAGATAACAGACTTCAACTTTTAAGTGCTACCATTTCTGTCTCTTGCTCTCCACTTAGACCTATATTCCATGTTAAGACTTAAGACAAGGTTCTGAAATCAGTAACCATCTGAATTCTACCTTTCAAAATGCAGAGAATGTGTGAACATTTTGTCAATAAGTTTCTGCAATTGTGTACGGAACCCAAGAAATACATGTATATGGAATATCAGGCTCAAGTGAGATTTATTTCAATTGTTGCTCCTTTGTTGTCTGTGTATTTTTTTAAAAAACAATGCAAATTCCTAGAAAATTTCTCATTGGATTTGAAATATGCATGCAAACAATAGGCCCATAGATCGCTTGAGTGTGGTACACCATGATTCCAATGAGTTTTAAACATGAAGCTGCTCAGAGTACTTCTCATTTAAACAGAAGATGGCCACAATTTTTATTTTATTTTGTTTTTTTTCCTCTAGCATGTCAGGAACATAGAAGTTGCAAAGCATGGAATGGTAGTAAGATGGAAAGGGAGAGGACTAATTTTAATTGCATGTTACACAGCTGAATATAATTGCGGAGGGGAGGGTTATAAGATCATGAAGTCCAGGATTGCTGTGCATATCCATTGAACATTCATTGCAATTAATAAAATATAACAGTGTATGGATGATGAAGAAATAAAATGAAGGAACAAGAAAAGGCAGAGTAAACCTAGAGCCAGGTACTAACAGTTATGGAGAAGACAGCGCCTTCCTGACAAAGTAAGGCATGAGTGGAAATCTTGTACAAGGAATGAATGAATACATAAAGATGGGGTTGTATGGAGGTCAAGGAGGTTTCAAGACTTTAGTAACTTAAATGTCAAATACTGAAGGGGAACCACTCAAGCAAAGCTCAAAACAGCCTAGTAGTTATCAACAATTTTCATTTAGAAAAAAAAGAGAGAAGAAATAAAAATGAATTGCATTTGTAAACAAGCAATATTTGTAAGAGAATTCCACAGACATGTATTTATCACAGCTACACTGAGAGTCAGCCAAAGCAGGATTTCACATTAACATTTATTCCTTACTAATCTAGTTGAATAACTGTCTTATACAACTCTGTATATGTTCCATTTATTTTATTGTTATGTGTGTATAAAAGCAAAATCTAAATAAGTCATAGGAATGTGGCTCACAATTATTGAGCAATAGCATTCAGTACAGAAAATCTGCTTGTCAAACACAAAATTCTCAATCTAGACAACAGTTAGTTGCATCCACATCCAAAGAAATACATGAGTTTAATCGTATTAAAACCCATGTGCTGGATTCTCTCCCAAAAGGTTTAAGCTTTCACATAATCTCATATGGAAGTGGTCTTCTCCATTTGTTTTTCAAAATAAATTCTGCATGGGTCACAACAGTGGCCAGGTTGACAGCTGCAGCTATGTATGGTACCTGGGAGTCATGCATTTCCATATTTTCTTGCAGTTTTTGTTCTGCCTCTGCAATTCAATAAAAAGAAAATGGGTGACACGTAATCTATGAGAGCTGTGATTGAAATGTGTGATACCAGCCCCTACAAGTCACTGGGGCATTAACTTCCATCACATCAATTTTTTTTTTTTACTTATATACCGCCCCATAGCGCTACAAGCACTCTCCGGGTGGTTTACAATTTAATTATACAGGCTACACATTGCCCCCCCCCAGCAAGCTGGGTACTCATTTTACCGACCTCGGAAGGATGGAAGGCTGAGTCAACCTTGAGCCGGCTACCTGGGATTTGAACCCCAGGTCGTGAGCACAGTTTTAGCTTGCAGTACAGCGTTTTAACCACTGCGCCACGAGGCACATAACTCTCCAAGTAGTACTACTGTCCCTCTCTCAGCCCTTGTGTATTCCATACTACCTGAGGATAATGTTTGCAGCAACAAATAGAAGCGGCAGTGAGCCAAGGGATGGCTGAGAAACAGGAATGACTACAGACCTTGATCTATGTTCATATTCTGTAGAGCACAGCATAAGCTGTTACCTTTGTAGAGAAAAGACGACACAGCTTTGCTGGACTTAATGAGCTATAGGGTCCCTTTCAACTCTGCAATTCTAAGATTAGGAGAAGGAAGAGGCATGAAATGGAGGACGTTACACTGAGCAGAGCCATAGTCAGGCACAGGAAAAGATGGCACTTTTCCCATTCTTTGCATAGAAGCAGTGATGGCTTTTGACCAGGCCAGTGGGGCAGCCCAGCAGAATCTTGGGGTGAGGTGTCCCCAACCTCTTGGTTCACAAACCATCCACAGATAGAAACTGACAGAACAAGTAACAGGATCATAGAAGCTGTCCACTACCCTACTAATATTCTTCGAAGAATTGATGAATTGATCCGTTGATTCATCTGCATTTTAAATGCCTATAACATTGGCCCCCGATGACCTAGAGACAACAAATTTGCAGAAAAGCTTCATTGAATGCTTTTCTACAATTTCTGAAAGTTTGGTGAACATTAGATCACAGACCCCAAGTTATTCACCCACAAATTGGGTCCCCCAGGAGAGTTTATGACACGGCACAGAAGCCCATGAGGAAGTTATATTTAGCCCCAGCAGAATGAGAGGTCCCTTTGGCAGAGGCATGCACAAGGCATCAAGTTTGTCCTCAGCTCAACATAACACCCCCTTTACGGATTGTTGCCTTGTCGTGGTGAAGGGGCTTGAGTAATTCAGAGAAACTATGGGCTATGCTGTGCAGGGATACCCAAGAAAGCAGATTCTTGCCTTCTTTGGGAACATCACATTTGCCTGCATAGTTTAGTTTGCCCCAGGAGGCAACTGAGGTTGTACAACAACAACAGCAACAACAGATGAATAGGGTGGTTCTACTAACGTAACAGTGGTTATTAGCTTCTCGAGCAGAAGATCAAATCCATGCAACGGGGTGAGCTGACCTCCCATAGTTTGTTCTAGGTTCTGCCTACCTGAGGCAGTAGGCAGCTGGAATGAACAGCCAGGAATTAGGAATGAAACCCGAGTGGACTTT